CCCCTGTTGATGATAGAGTTCTGCTTTATTGACTCCATCCTAAATAAGTTCTTTCAAAAATTGAATACCTTAGTTAGTTAGTTAGCTAGCTAGTTTTCATTATCATTACCTTTTCTTATCAGTATCTTTATACATAAAATCTTTATTTGTCTTTGAGAGTTGGAAACATGACATATAAACTTACAAATAGAATCACATCAGCAAATTATGGGCTGCAATTCACTAATGATAAGGTGTACCAAGAAAAAGGGAGGGGGTGATAGTAAATACAAATTGTCAAATAAGTCATAATTTGGGGACAAGTTGTATACACACACACACACACACACACACATGTAAATAATTAACTCCCCCCAAAAAAGGTAAATGTTAAGATGAGACAAAAGCCCTTTTTTTCCACCATGGGTCAAAATACGAATGTTATTTCAGTTCTTTCCACACTAAATTTACCTAAAGAGTGATAATGTGTAGAATTAGAGTGAAAACAACTCTTGGAAAGCAGAGCTACACCATTCTATCTAAAGCATATCATTAAAATGCTACCAATAAAAATTTCAAAGCCACAACCCAATAACCTTCTTTATGTAACAATTTAAAAGGAAGAGAAGCCCTTATGTAATCTGATGCTTCTAAAATGCGGAATGCACATAAGACTTACTAAAACACTGAGACTGGAAGGCCAAGAAGAAAGGGAAGAGATGTCATCCCACTCTATAAAAAGCTATTGAAAGAGACTTATTAGTGGTTATGTCCATTGTTATTGACTATTTGTAACAACTGCATGTTTCCAAAGATGCTTTGCCATTCCAATTCCTTAGCAGTTCAATGAAGGCTGCATGGACACATTGTTCCATACACAAGTGCAAATAATCCAATAATTATTTGAAAATAAAACTTCTAATTCATGATCAAGCTTCCTCTCTCTTAAAAAAAAAAAACACAGCTAATAGTCTGTCATATAACTAGCATAGTGCTTTCTAGTATAAGGCCAGGATTATCATCCTATTAAGATTTTTCTGTTTCTCATAGGTGCCCTTGAATCATTTTCAGATTTTTCCTTCCTCTAACTTTGAATACTTTGTTTTAAATATTTCATGAATTATTACTGATGTTCTAAAGTAAATTGAAAAGGTACAAAAAATACTGTTGGAGAAGAATGCTGAGAACATAAAGATAGGATTTTTGTGTAAACAAATATGACCATCCAATAAATTTGGAAATTTCAGAAGTTGATATTAACAGAAAAAACACAGAATAAAAATAAAAGTAGGAGTTTCTATTAGTGTTTGACTAAATGCAAACTTTTTCTATAAATAATTTTGGATGCAACATTATCACTGCATTGTTACTGTTGTTGTTAGGTGCCATTGAGTCATCTCCAACTCACAGTGATTCTATGTACAGCAGAACAACACACTGCCTGGTCCTGTGCCAGCCCCATAATCTTTGCTATATCTGAGCCCATCATTGCAGCTCATTGCCAATTTTGTTAGTAAGTTTGTACCTAATATCTATAAATAGTTAGTACAAAGGAAACTGGGAGAAAAATAGAAGACCACCTTAGAGTGAAATCAAAATTCCTTGGTAACACAGTGATCATAAATCAAGTACTCACACTATATTTTTGTATTATCTTGAACCTCCAAACAAAAATTTTAAATGACTATTAAGTGATGAGATGCTATTCTCCAGATCAGCTAAGAAAGTGAATTATGTCCCCCACAAAATAACAAAAAGGAAGAAAACACTTAAAATGTCATTTCATTGCTATATCTATTTTCTAATTTTTGAAGGGGAAAAAGGTTGGAAAATGACATAATAAATAAAAATTTGAACAAAGCACCAATGATGCCACTAGGGCTTGTATCAGTACCCCTCCCCCCCCCCAAAAAATGGATCTTCCTCAGGTCCAGACCAGGCAGAATCCTTAGTGATGTTTATTATCCATTTTAACTATAGGATGATATGTGATAAATATAGTTGTAAATTGCTTAAATATAATATTTCTTAGATTATATAAATACAACAAAATTGTTTTGTAAAATCTTTTTACATTGAATTACAGCATTATTAGTAAATGAGCAGAAGCCTTTTTAAATTTTTCTCCTTATTTTCTCTGGTGGTGTAGTGGGTAAGGCATTTGGTTGCTGGCCAGAGGGCCCATAGTTCAAATCCTCCAGTTGATCCACAGGAGAAAGATGAAACAATGTATTCCTGTAAAGATTGACAGCCTTGGAAAACCAGTGGGGACTGCTATCAGCCAGAATTCACTTGCTGGCAGTGTTTTTTTTTTTTTTTTTTTTTCTTTAATTACTACTTTATTCTCAAAAAACTTATTGATATAAGTTCACAAATAATATCACAATATTGTAGCTAAGATGCCAAAAATTTGACAAAATCAGCAACTATGAAAATATCAGCAGCAATAAAAGCAATAGTGTGTGCTTGTAGCACATGTAGATGAAATCACATGATTTGAAGTGTTCTTGTAATTTGGTAATAATGACAGCTCTGACCAAGCACATTAGAAGGGTCAAGAAAAAATTAGTATAAAGTTTTAGCCTTGTAAGTGTATTAATACATGTAAGCTGGGCTTATGAAAAATGCTTTTGTTGTTACTGTTGTTGTTGTTTGCTGTCGAGTCGGACCCGACTCATAGTGACCCCTCCTTGGGTTTCCGAGGCAGTATCACTACGGAAGTAGATTGCCCAACCTTCATTCCGAGGAGTGGCTGGTGAGTTTGAGCCACCAGCCTTCTGGTTAGCAGTTAAGTGCCGTAGGCACTATGCTACCGAAGCTCCTTTGTTGTTAGTACTACAGGAATAATTTTTTTATAAAAAATAATAAATTTCTACTGAAACACTGTATAGAAGTTTTATAGACAGTCAATTTGGGGTTACCCCCTCTAATGGCATCACCCAGTGTGGTCTGCACCTCCTGTACCACATCCCCAGTGACACCACTGCAAAGCAACAAAGCAGTAAGTAGCAGTGTTTCTCAGCTGCAGTGGTGTAACTGTATAAGAATTTTGGTGGCAAGAAGAAACTCTCATGAATTGCTAGTGGAAGTATAAACTGGCAAAAATGATATAGTAGGCAACATATGTAATAATGGTATTAAAAGTTTATATTGTTTAACTCAGTAATTTAATTTTGGAAATACAGCCTAATAAATATTTAGATAAAGATTTAAATACATTTACTATAGAATTTTCCTAACAGGAAAAAATACAATCAATTTATATATATTTCTGTCCAGCAGTCATATATGAGTTAAATTACTATTCATCTAACTAAAGATTATATAGCCAATAAAATAGAAAACATAAAAAAAATAAAATGTAGGGAAATGGTAAGTGGAAAAGAAAGCCAAATTGTACAAAACATGATTGTAGTTATGCAATATATGCCCAAAGAGTAAAAAAACAAACAGAAAGTACATCAATAAGTTATACATGAAAAGGGAAGTGTATCATTCTGTTGTACACAGGGTCTGAGTTGGAGCCAACTCGATGGCACCTAACAACAGTGTGAACATACAAATAGACACACATAGCCTACTTTATGCTCTGTGCACATTACATTTAAATGAGAATATAAGAAACACCACTCCTCGGAAGGAAGGTTGGGCAATCCTACTTCCGTAGTGATACTGCCTCGGAAACCCAAGGAGGGGTCGTTATGAGTCGGGGCTGACTCAACGGCAAATAACAACAACAAGTTTTATATCATATCAATCTTTATAATCACAACTAGGGCATACTATAGTTCTCTATTCAATCAACAACATAGAATATTTAAAATGCAGGCATTTATCAGTAATAATTTTGGAATGTTTTCTCTCTAGATCTGTTGGCAAAGCTATTTTTGAGAAGGAGATTGTTAGTGAGAGCTAGACATCTGTTTCTCTAGGTCAGTAGTTTTCATATTGTATTCTATAAAGTCCTGTGGTTCTACAATGTGCCTCAGGGGCAGCCATGGCTGGTGGTTGTTAATAAGGAGGGAGCAAATGGGCAAATTTAAAAGACTCTCATCCCTACTTCCACCCAGGAAACTCCACTCTAACCTATCTTTCAAATTGCAATTCAGTGTAATTATTTTGTTTATTTGGCTAACAACTGTAGTTCAATAACATATGTAAAACTTTTTCATATCTACGTTAATTCAAATCACTAGGAAATTACCTATATGCCTGGACTTAGTTTCTTTACTTCTCTTTAGAAATACTTACACAGATCTATGAAAACACTATAGCATTATTCCTTTATCTTTAGTCATATGAAGAGTCCATATGGCTTTTGGCCATAGGAAGAAAAACTTTGTATTTTGGAAAATTGCTAGTGAGAACATTGCTATTGACAGATCAATTTTCCTTGAACTTCAGTGTAAGGAAGAAACTTGTCTCTCCAGGTAAGCATTTATACTTCCCTTTAAGTATACAATGGCCACAATGTTATTCAACCTATTTCTTTTAGTGTTTTAGCTTTCAGAATGCTCAGATTTCCAGGATATTTTTTAAAGTCCCTCTTCTTGCATATTTTCTGGTATATCTGTCTCTTGACCTTGGCCTTGGTCTATGATTCTTTCTCCTTTTCATTCTTCTGACGAATTATTGTATTTTTTTTTTTCTCTCAATGCTTCTTTAGGAGCAAACTAAGTGTAATTCCTATCTTCCACAATGCCAAAGAATCCAATTTATTAATTTATTTTCAGAAATGACTCACCAGCAGTGAGTTTGGTTTTTTTTTTTTTTTTGGTCACATATTTCATATCACAGTGAAATAATTCTATGATTTTTTTTTAA